CGAAACCCACCCCGAAACACACACACACACTCGCAGCCTGGCTGGGAGTGTGTGTGTGTGCCCAGGCTGAGTTCCGCAGACTGTTTACATGCATAAAAACCTTAACACACAAGGGGGCGGGTAATAACCGGAAAAGCATGAAATGGGCCCTTTAAGTTTTGGGAAAGTCTATAACTTAATCTTGTTAACAACATGGACACATTTACTGCAATTGTCTTTATGTTTGGCTGATCTCAACATGATTTGAAACGATTAATCTTGTGCAACATCAGTGCGTAAATCAGATAACTTGAAATGACAAGGACAAAAGTTTACTATTACACTGTACATGTGTTTTGGTATTTGTATCGCCCCTCCTGAAACTCATGTTGAGGCAAGTCGGCACAACTTCCCGCGCTGCAGTTTGTCATTTATAGAAATACCATCTGGTCTGGGGAGCGTGATGCAATGTGTCCGCGCCAGAGAGCAAATGAAAGAGAGCACTGTGATCCAGAATAACTGCATTAGCGGACGCATTCTTGAGTACCGCATGTCATCTGTGTTGTTTACTGATAAAGAAAAAGACTTTTGGTAGTTCCTGCAAATATAAAACTCCTCATGCAGAACAATTCAATAAAAAAAACATTGTAAATAATGGATAAATATTAGTTTCTGGTCACTTAAAACATGGAAAATAGGGACTTCATTTAAATAATGTTTCAATGAGTGTTTTTCTTCCAGTTTGTTCTAACGTTTTTCACCTGAATCACATTTCTACTCCATTCTTGGTTTATGATTTCCTAAAGCTTAAAAATCACGTAAAAACAAGTTTAAATTGTGTTTTTATTGCATGTTCATACATTTTAGAATTGTTATTTTAAGATATGTACTGAATCAATTCAAATATGTTTGGTGAGTGAGTGTTAAACAAAAGGCATCTATGTCCAGAGGTGCCATTACTGTAGCATCAAATAGAAGAGTCTGATGCACACAACTCTCACTGAAGCAATGCATTTCAGATTAAAATATATCTTGCTTTTCAAATCCATAAGAGTGATCTGCCCCTAGGGGTCTCTCTAGATCTTCAAATAAGGTCCCGAAGTATTTCATCATCACAAATTGTAAATATCAAGTGTTCCGATCTCAAGTGAGCCTAAAGCCATTTTTTTTGTGGTGTAGAACAAAACAAAAATATATTTTTTACATTATTCCATCTAAATTCAACTTTTTTTCACTCCGTAAATACGTTTTGAACCTTTTATATGACCAAGAATTGGTCTCTAAGGTAACCAACTTGACTACCACGATACATCATGCAAGGTTTATATTTCACTTCAATTTATTAATTTCAAAATAAAATTTGAGGACCACTTTAAGAATCCCTAAAATATGTCTCTACAGATCTTTTTCAAAAACATTTGTATTTTATTTTCCATCAGCTGAAATGGCATTTTATAGATTTGTATCCTTTGCATTTGTTTATGTTTTGTTGATAAAGATATAAATGACAATGTATAGATATTGAATTAAACATGTATTTTATATCTTTCTAGACTTTCCTTCAATTTACAAAATATATTATAAATAAACACAATAGCATTAAATAGTATAACACAAATGTTCTGCTAGTGTTACAATTATACTGTTTGATAATATAAATATGGCTTTAAGAGCCCACTTTCTAAAGCTACCTGGAAACCACAAAGCTAATGATGTCTTCCAAACTTTCCATCTGAAAGAAAAAGCATAACAGATATTTGTAACTGTTAACAGTGGTGTACACACTATTGTGATTTTATAAGCAGTAATCCTCTCATCACTCATATATATATATTTGTATAAATGTGGTAGAAAATGGCTATCTTGAATCTGATCTTTGTCACTCTAATGGCAAACCCAAAGCCTATTTATCAGAATAAATAACATTTTTTAAATACAATTTTAGCACTCTGAAAAAGCCATCTAAAAATGATTTTTGTTTGTCTTTCTCACTAATTGTCCCACATCCTTCATGTGACCACCGTGTGTTAAAAAGCTTTAATGCACTGCAAATGTCATCCTTATAAAAAGAAGATTAATGAATAAACTCATGTGGTCTGCATAGGCTACATGTAGACCAGATTTACCTTCTTGTCTCTCCCCACACCGAGGTTCTTTAGCTGGTAGACGGTCACTTCCCCCTCAGTGTCCCCCACCAACACGCAGTCTGTCCCTGAGGCGAACAGCAGGGACGTCACAGCAGCGGCAGCACGGTGCACGACGGTTGGGAGCATGCTGAAAAGGACACAGGATTATGTCTGGCTCATGTTTCAAATCAGAAACATAAGAGTAAAGAGCTCTCAGATTATCAGTCAGTCTGACTCACATGTTCAAATTCAAGTCCCAGATCTCCACCATCTCTCCGTTAATGGCTGCAAATACGGTGGAGGAGTTTGGGGACCACCTGACGGTGGACACGGTCCTCTGGGTGGATTTGAAGCTCATCACCGGGTCGGAGCAGTCCTGCTTCCACAGCTGGATGGTCCAATCAGAGGAGCAGCTGAGGAACACATCAGGACTGAAAGGAGACCACTCAACATGGTTCACAGGGCACTGAGGGAGAGACACAAGATTAATGAGTGAATAAACTGAAATGACCAGTTTATATAGATAGCAATTTTTCAATTAAACTATTAAATTAAATTGAAGTAAATGTGTAGCAGACAGAATTACTGAAGTCTAACAAGGTATGGAAAGTTTTTTGTTATTGTTACGACAAATAATTCAGGGTTTTGTGAAGTTTCTAACAGCAAAGGATTATTTTTGGTAACTAAAATATGACTTTAGATAGAATTGTAAAACTCTCTCTCTGATAAAAAAAATTACTTTTATTTTTGACTTGCTTAAAAACATATAGAATGTCCATACAGTGATATTACTTGTTGTGAGTCCAGACCATAATGAGTAGGTGCTGGACAGCAGAACATATCAAAGATGGAAAAACAATTATGGACACCAGATCGTCATGTTACAGTACCTACATCTATATATGTATACAATATTAGAGTAGGGCTGTGCGATTATGGCAAAAATCATAATCACGATTATTTTGGTCAATAATTGATATCACGATTATTAAAAACGATTATCCATTTATTTTGAAAACATCAATTTATTGCAAACAAAAATTTGAAGAGTATGTTTTGAGCAGTTGATTACCCTGAACTTTAAGTATAATTCAACTGAACAACCAATAATAAAAAATTAATAATTACATTTCTTTTTTTTTTTTTAAAATAAAAATAATAATCGTTTTATTTCGATTACGTTGTTTTTGTAATCGTTGCAAGCCAGAATCGTAATCGAGATTAAAATACGATTAATTGCACAGCCCTATATTAGAGTATACATTATTTATTTACAGTTATTAAATATAACTTATATGTACGTAATTTTTTTATTCCTGCTTTTGCATGGTTATGTCTCTTGCACTACTTTGGACTTACAAAGTGTTTTTTGTAAGTGTGGAGGACGTTCTGACTGTTGGAGACGGAGCACTTGTGGATGAGGCACTCCGATGTGCCGGCCAGGTAGATACTGGAGTCCTGCAGGAGAACAACCAGGAGAAATGTGGGATGTTTTGAATGCAGAAAATCAGAACCAGAACAAAAGATAGTCTTGAATTGACTGTGTAATCGGGAAGACAGGACCAACTCACTATGGGGTTGAAGTCCACGCAGAAACCAGGAGTCATGGCTGAAATAATGCGTTCTGTCTTCTTCTTGTTTTCCGCAGCTTTCTTCTTCAACGTCTGACTCTTCTTTAGCTTCATCAGGTCTTAGAACACAGGTTTTTTTTAAAATATAAATATATTTACATGTTGTTGGTGTGATTTCTTTTAAGATAATCTATACCAAACAAGGATTTTTTGTATGTAGAATATTGTTTGTAAGCCGAAACTTCTCCGCAGTACCATAATAATAATAATAACTTTAATTTATATAGAGAGGCGAAGTCCCTCCCTTTCCGGGGGAGCTCCATGGGACCTTATACCGAAAAAAGTATGTATTGAAGTCAATGGCGAGAGAAAAGTTATCTTTCGATCCCGTTTGAATTGTGCCACGAATTACACATATGATGTTTGTCAATTGAAAAGATAATTTTGCAAGTTAAAAAAATTAAAATGTGTCGTTAAACTGTGAAGTAACACTTTTTTTATGTGAAACCGCTCAATGAACTACATCCAGGGGTGGACTGGGACTAAAAATCAGCCCGGGAAACTCGACAGGCCGACCGGCCCAACTCGGTACCGCTAACCGCTAGTGAATTTTCCGACCGGCCCACTTCGGTACCGGCCCACCGGGAAAACTCCCAGTATTCCCAATGGCCAGTCCGCCCCTGACTACATCTCCGGTCTCGCACCACACACCAAGACGGCCGTCACGTTGGCACATTTAACTTCTTTCTTTCAGAAGGAGGCGAAAAGTATTTAAAGAGGTGAAAATCACTCCAAGTCTGGGCGTGTTGAGAACTGTACATACACACAAGGGGAGTTAGTNAGCTCANTGGATGAGAAACCAATGTGAGTTTGGAACATTGCACAACATACATTTATTTTAGTACACCTCAACGATGGAATTATGATCAGTAGAAATGGCCAGGACATGGGACCTTTAACATCTTACATATAGTTTTTGAAACGATTACATTTTTCTGAATGTGAGAAATGGAAACGGCCATTTCTACTGATCATAATTCCATCGTTGAGGTGTACTAAAATAAATGTATGTTGTGCAATGTTCCAAACTCACATTGGTTTCTCATCCANTGAGCTGCCGGGTCCAAAACAAAGCCAGTCAATCCAATCATGAGGAAAGGTAAGGGAGGATGTGTGTGTGTGTGTGTGTGTGTGTGTGTGTGTGTGTGTCACACACACACACACACACACACACACACACACACACACATCCTCCCTTACCTTTCCTCATGATTGGATTGACTGGCTTTGTTTTGGACCCGGCAGCTCAGGGCTAGAGAACCACTATGAAGGGGAATTGCCTTTAGCCGTGATGAGGCTGCTGTTTGAAGCCTCGGGGTATTCATGCGTTATCCTTCTATCGGGCCGACTCTACTCTCCCCTTTATTTAGACTGCGCACCCCGCTTTAAATCCACTATGGAAACATCAGTCAGAGCCACGGAGCTGAAATTGCGGCGATCATTTCGTTGGGAATTCAAAATCAAAAATGATCCTCTGCATCTGATGCCGGGGTGACATTGGGTTGTCCTGGAGGTTCGTGGGCATCGTAATGAGGAATGGACACACTTCCAACTGTACGTCAGTGGATTTATGCTCACAGTCGCCTTGAAGACAGCGTCACCATTTGTCTATTTGTCTTCATTTCTTCTCATCCTGTGGCCTGAAATCTGAGATGCACACAACAAGGGAAGTCTGTTTGTTTCTGTCACACAAAAAGTGAAGAGGATGGCAGGGTGTCTGGTCCGTAACGAAATGCCAACCAAATGAGGACGGATCAGGGGGCCGAGCGTAAGCCACCATGAGCCCCCATTACTGAGCACAGAAGACGGATGGAGCTGCTGGTCATGAGAGGGAAACACACACACTTTAAAACACACACACTTATATATTACTATATACAAAGGTCCTGACCTAAAATCGCTTTTAAATGTGCTTTATAAATAAACTTTGATTTGATTTGATTGGATTTGAAAGGTGCAGATGGGGAGAAATAACTGGAGGCAAGTGGATAAAGTAACTCTGTCTGCTTTCAGAATAAAACTCTCCATCAAGGAGGCAAATCCAGAGATATCAGGCAGCAAACAAAGCTCAGACAATGACTAAGACACACATACTTAACACAGCAAATGTCTCACTGCTAACACAAGCTGGCTATGCTAATATGCAGATGGCAAATCACCAACCATGCAGTCTGCATAACTGTACCCAATCATGACGAATGATGAAAGATAATGTGATTAATCTCTCAAAGAAACAAATATATTATGTAGGCCTCTGAGAAGACTTGTGTTTCAGTTGAGGTCTGAGGAAGAGTTCACATCAGAAACAGGAACATGATTTCCTCCCGCTGTTCTCTAACGACTGCAGGGCTTTATGGAGCGAGACTGAAGCTCTTCTTCTTATGAATGTTTCTGGTCAATAGCTTCCATCAAAAGGAGAACAGAGGATGGGAGGACGAGGGAGATTTATGGAGCCTCGTATTAAACTGCACGACAGCAATCAAGCCCTTTTACAACGGCTGAGCAACCGGCAGTTCTCACAGCGTAATACACAATACTAATGTAACCCCCGCTGAGAAATGAGCACGTCGAGAGGTTTTCACTTCTTCAAGAGCACTTACACCAATCTCCGCTTATATCAAGTTGGTAATGGATGTGTGCTACGGGCGATCAAAAAGCTTTAAGGTGTACTTACTCAAAATAAAGCTGTTTCTTGGTTGCTATGGTGATTATGGAATCAGGCTGCTGAGAGGCTAAATGCTTAAAAAGGTGTAAAAATAAGTTGAACCAGAACTGCTGCATATTCATTTCATTAACCCATAAAGATTGAAGCCATGCTAATATACTGGACCCCCCGCTGAGCAAATGCAACGTGTTGTTCAGAGAGAGTCTTTATAGCCAACACATGTTACGGTTGTGCACCAGATACGATACATGAAACATGTCTAATCGCTCGTCCATTGGATGATGAAGATTTGGACGTTCATTCATATTGTCCAGATCATTTCAGGGTTGCAGTGCGAGGTTTTTAGTAACACTGATGAGAGTATTCCCATCAGTTTGAAACAAATCATCTTTGAGGTATAGAGACCCTGCACTTCTATTATCAGTGTTAAAGCCAGGTGTTTTATAAGCCATGCTTTTTCAGTGTGATCAATTAGTATGGACGACTATGTGCACGCTGTTTGGTTCTCCCCTTCTGATGAGAGTATTAATGCGGGCTAGCCAAACCAAAGATAGCCATAAAGCGAGATAGAGGGGGGTGAGGAGAGGGTGAAGCTTGGTGACCCTTTTTATTTCCGCTCGCTTCCCAGGGGGCATGGTTCCTGTTTCAATTAATCCCTAATCAAACTGGGAGCCTCAAACTAACATGATCTGATTCGGCCTCTTCACACAGGGACGCTCTAATCAGTTTTCCCATCCAGGCACGCCTCTGCTGTTGTTCAGTGTCCTCTGAGATATTATCAAACTCTGTGACATGTGTGTGTGGCAGAGGGCGGTGTCACCACGCTCAGTTAGGCACCCGTAAACTGGAAGGAGCGCGGAGAATACAGGAAGCAATCTGCCGCTGTTATCTGTCCTCAGGCGACTTGTTGGTTCTGGAGATCGTGCAGAGGAAGTCTGGTGTCGACTGCATAATGTCTGAAGAGAGTCTGTGAGCAAAACCCGATTAGTTATTCACACCTTGGCGGAAAAAGGTGTCCGCAGGTGCCTGACGCTGCGACGGCACCTCGCATCTGCTCGCTAATGAGTCCGATTGCAGCTCTCATCAAGGGCATCATTCGTCTGCGGATCACAGAGGAAACGACATCGCCTTAAGGCCAAAGCTTCTGCCGCAATAAAGAACAACAACGAGCAGCTGCAGAGCCAGGAGAGCACTTAGATCAATCCATTAAGAGGCGAGAGGAAGTAACGACGGTGTGCAGAGTAAAGTGGAGTACGAGACAGAATGAGGAGGGATGACGTCTACTGCAGGGAGCTAAAAGATGATTTGTGCAAAACTGGCGAGCGTGTTGATTGACCTCCTCGTACTCTCAAGATTTCCAGATGTGAAAGTTTTAAACTAATATTCTCTGCAAGGACGCAGAGGTCTTCTCTATTGTGGAAGACAATAATGCAACCTTGGAGAGATGAGTGTTGAAATGACATTATCTGTGTCTGCAAAATGATGTTGACCTGAGGTTAATTTGGTAGCTCTGTGCCC